CAAAAATATAAACCAAAATCAAAAATATAAATCAAAATCAAAAATAAGGTGTGTAATACTTGTGAATTAAGTAATCTTCCCTTGAAATATTTACTTACCAGATGTTGAATAACCGCGAAATGTTGACAAGAAGTGAGACATTTCAAGCTCAGTTATCTATTAAAGGGAGATAAATCAAATGAAAGAATTTGAAGGCAAAACGTCACCATTTCTAAAACCGAAGATAAATCGTAAAATTAATGAGTTAGTTAGCAGTTGCAGATGTTATCTGTATTTATATCCATCTAGTCTTAAACTGTTCAAGGTTATGTTGATTAGTTTTCTTCTTCTTCTTTTTTTAAATGTTTCATTTATATCATGTAATTTTAATGATGAAATTCATCTCCAACATCTTTACCGGTTATCGTTTTTATCAAACGTTTTGCCGTTTTCATAATCGCGTCGTTTAAACATACAAATATTTTGTACTAGAAATTCTTAAAATGTGTGCTTTAACTGTCTCAATCAAACGCTCTTTGGGGATTATGTTGGTTGTAACGAATACAAGAATCCACGTACAGATATGTTAAGAAACAAAAGCAATCGGCTTTTGTTGTGCCATTTTAATCGTGTCTTTATATATATTTATAAATTTACGAAATTAATACTAAAATAAAGCACACTTTTATTCGTAAAGGTTAATTTTTGTAGAATTAAATACTGTAGAGTGTAGCATGGTGGCCTAGATTCACCGTACTGTTTTACCTTTGCAATGTATGAGGGCGCTTCAAAAAGTTATTTTCCAGAAACTTAATCGCATAATCATATTTTACACGGTCAAACGATCCTCATAACAAAAATACTTATTATTGTTGTTATACATGTAAATTATATTATTTAAAAGGGGTGGCCTTGAAATTTCAAATATACAATAGTTGTATGGTCAAGCGTTACGGTGTTTCACATTAAAAGAAGTGGTTTTTAAACAGAAAACCGACGAGGACGGTTTAGAATCATGTTCCTCAAAACATGTGAGCTCGGACCAGTCCAGGCGCCTAAAACATGCAACCGCTAGCAATCAGGACGTCTTAAACACTTTATCATGGACCATCACAATCAATGCTAGACAATGTAACATTCAAACATAATGTTTTTGAAGATACCAAAGATGTCTCCTTTGTTTATGCCGCTCATGGAGATCTGAAAATGTGTAGACTGTGCCTTAAAGTAAAGAGTATTAAGCAAAGCTGAAAAGACTAATATTTACAATAACACGTTCATGCAGCCGTTTATGAGACATGGTTACAATCTTTTGAACCTTGTCTCAAAGCAAAGCTTTGAATATTATCATTACTATCCAACAAATTTAAAGCGAGTTGAACCATTTGACATTGTATTTGACTCTGTTAGAATCGCTATATATATAGAAAAAGCGTTAGTAAAGACCATATATATAAATTATAATAATAATGACTTGGTATGAATAATGGCGTACTCTCAGTCAGTAAGAGCGATAACTTTTTGAAATGTCCTCACCAAAGTATATTATTTCAGCAAACGTTACATAGCTTATTTTGCAACTTTTAAAAGGGTATCTTATTGCCTGAACAGTTATATCTTACGGGTATGATCAGCTTTTTATCCCCATGCAGCTGTAGTGGAGCCGAGTAATGCAAAAAAAATCAAAATATTACCCTACTGCAAAAAGTCGAAAATGAGATTACAAATTTTTCTTTGCTGTGCTAACAAAAAATTAGCTCAAAGCTTGGGCCTATAAATATATTAAGATAAAATATGTTTTCGACACAGGAGGAAATATCTTAGCATTTCTACTTTTCGCTCTTTTTTTGTTGAAACTGGAGTTTGGTATGACAAATGCAGTATGAATTTCGTCGGAAAATTCACGAAATGTGAAAAATGCATGCACAATGTCGAGGTTTATTCGAGTACTTTGCAGTTTGCAGTGTACAGTTGTGTATATATTACCAGTGAACTATTTAGGAAAATTGCAATTTAAAATTTCCTTTTTCTTTTTCTCTACATACAATGATGCATGCCCGCTCGTCTTTCCGCGCATTAAATTATTAAACGGTTATTTGGGATTTTAAACACGCATTTGTCGAACGTTATTTTAGAATTGTTACAAAAGGATATCTCACAATCTCAAACCAGTGCGATTGTTTACAAGTTTGAAAGGTTTTTTTTTGAAGATGACGTCTCAAGATATATCAAGACATATCTTATATCAAAAAGGTTACAAAGACAAATAAACAATAGCATAACTCTAGGTACATAATACATTTAACCTATATTTAGCAACAAGGACAATATTTATGTCAATATAGGTTATGTGCTCGGTCTTTTTTAAAAATGTGATACTAATTACTTCCCTTGCTATTACTCTAAATTGCAAACTACTAACCTCCCTTGATTAATTACTGTGCTTACCTGATTTAAATTTCATATAACTTTAATGACTTAACTAACGTTGTATATTATCCATTGATATAACTACACTAAACGGTCAATAAATAACTGATTAACAAAACTCATTGCCTTTGAGGGAAAACAATTCAAACATGGCAAAGAAGTGAATAAGGAAGATGATTCGATGAACTTTCACCATTTGTTGCTCTAACAAATATAGCTGTATTAAATAATGTATTTCTATTAACACTTAATATTCAATAGAGTCTGAAAATAAATGTACTAGGAAGCCTGGTATAGTAATTAGTGTTATACTTGTGTTTTTCATGTGTGAGATAACTATATTTAACAATATAATGAAATTCATCACCTGTTTCTTGTTGACTACAAAGTGAGCAAGTTCTATTTCCTCTTTCTATACCAAAATATCAACCTCTCTCTATAAGAAGATCCAAATTGAGACATATATACATGTATATATATATATATATATATATATATATATATATATATATTATATAATATATATATATATATATATATATATATATATATATATATATATATATATATGAGTGATTGCTAAAACTCATGTTAAACATAGTGAAATAATGTTCTAATCTAAATTGAGTTCTTTACAGTCATGATATAACTTAAATACTTGGCAGATATTGCCTCACGTGACATGGTGTAGGACGGAGCGGTCAATTAGCCCCTTATAAGTTTTGGTTGTTTTTCTATAGTCTTGGATATTATATTTTAACTGTTTTCTGGATAAAACACTGTATTTATAGTTAAACTTTGGTAGTGAACTCTAAAAATGGAAAAGCAAGCAGAAAATATGGAGTTGAATAGGCACTTTGCATCCAGCTCTGCTTGTGCAAGGGGAATCATCATGGCGGCGGTGACTCGGTTGTATTTACAAACATCACCGATCCGCCCACGCCTCTATACCTATAATCTGTTTCAAAATTGACCAATAATGTTAAACATTCTCCAACATATATGGACATCTACCCCCGAATCCAACTTCTTTTAATAATAAGATGTTCAAATAATAAAAATATCGATGGTACCCTTTTTCAGATGCTCAGTTACAGTGTCACTTATTATGTTATATATTGATATACCATGTATTGTACACTCTTGTGCGGCTATATGTAATTAGAGTTAATAAAGTGTTGTTCTGTTCTGTTCTGCAAACATCAATAGTCCATAATGTAACAATCAATTAAAGTGGTATTGTTGCATTTTCACCATTGTCGTATTTTTGTTGACCGGTGTATATGCGCATGCGTACGGAGAGAGAGCTTACATATAAAAGATTACATATAAAAGTATATAATATGCATATATAATTCAAACCTTGTATTTTCATTTATTCATGAAACATTGAAGTTTTAGTTATTAATCAACTTACTCGTTATATTTTATTCCATTATACCATGTCAGGTGACATATGCTTCGTAAATCTGCAAATGTGCGAACATGCAAACAAGCAACAGAAAGCAAACATGCATTAATGCTAAAAAGACATAAAAGCGAAAAAACAAAGAAAGTAAATATGCAAAAATGCTGATACACTATAAATAAGATGCGCAAATGTGACAAATTTAAGCGATGTATATTTGCCTAACTCTGTCTTCATTTCGCCTTTTTTGTTCCAATACTGCGGAAATGTGAAAACACATAGGACAACAAAATTTTACTTTAATTGTTAAGCATTGTTTACTTTTTGAATTACATGTAATGTGATAAGTTAAAGTACCTAGTGGTACTCGCAATGAGTGATACTCGCAGATAGCGATTGTCGCAAAATGTAATACTCGCAGATAGTGATACTCGCTCGCAGTGATACTCGCAAAAAGTGATACTCGCAAATAGTGATACTAGCAAATAGTGATACTAGCAAATAGTGATATTTGCACATAGCGATGCTCGCAGATAGTAATACACGCAGATAGTGGTGCTCGCAGATAGCGGTACTCGCACATAGTGATACTCGCAGATAGCGATTGTCGCAAAATGTGATACTCGCAGATAGCGATTATCGCAATAATGTGATACTGGCAGATAGCGATTATCGCGAAAATGTGATACTGACAGATAGCGATTATCGCAATAATGTGATACTGGCAGATAGCGATTATCGCAAAAATGTGATACTGGCATATAGCGATTGTCGCAAAATGTGATACTCGCGGATAGCGATTATCGCAAAAATGTGATACTGGCATATAGCGATTGTCGCAAAATATGATACTCGCAGATAGCGATTATCGCAAAAATGTGATACTCGCAGATAGCGATTATCGCAAAAATGTGATACTGGCATATAGCGATTGTCGCAAAATGTGATACTCGCAGATAGCGATTGTCGCAAAAATGTAATACTCGCAGATAGCGATTGTCGCAAAAATGTGATACTAGCAGATAGCGATTGTCGCAAAATGTGATACTCGCAAATAGTGATACTCGCAGATAATGATACTTCACTGCTTTGATACACTTTGATTAAATACTCCATTATAAAATGTTGTAATGAGTGTATAATTTATAATTGTATATTATTTTGTTCTCTTATTTCATTACAGGAGCTTTCCTTGTTCCATATCTGATATGTGTGATAGTCGGTGGAATACCGTTGTTCTATTTGGAGGTGGCAGTGGGCCAGTTTATGGGCGTGGCCGGAATAAATGCATGGAACATTTGTCCTTTCTTCAGAGGTAAAGTAATATAAAAGTTTAGAACCTGTTTAACAATTACAATGATAGATGTAACAGTTTTATCCCACATAATTCTTCTAAATAATAGCCTGTACAATATGGAATGAAATATCAAAATTACAAAACTCAACAGCTCATAAATAGTGGAGCAAACGTCTGCAAATTTGCAGACATGACGCGAGGAATAATATTCCCATATAAAATATTTACCGCTAGCATTCAAAAGTAACTGCTATAAAGTATATCAATTTAAAATAAATTAAATATGCTTTGAAGACATAGTCAACTAACTGCATGAAGCCAATATCTATTAAATATTAACACTTGAATTCGTTCAAAATTTACATTTTCCGTCACTGTCCGTGTTTCTTTAAGAAATTATTATTATTATTATTATTATTATTATTATCATTATTATTATAATTATTATTTAAGGTATTGGTTTATCGACTCTGATCATTGTGTTTTTCCTCAACTGTTACTACAACGTCATTCTCGCCTGGGCGTTCCGTTATTTCTTCGCCTCATTCACCAGCGAACTGCCGTGGACAAAATGCGACTATGATGACTGGGCTACGGAACATTGTACCAATTTTGATGACCCCAGCCCTGACAACAGATGTAAATATGACAAGTAATAAGCCTTACATATATTCTTGCTTTAATTCATAAACCATTCCCCCTGTTCTTTCAATGACAAGCTCTGGGCCAACTACCTTGTTTGATAGTTTAATTTACATTTGTATGTTCGTAAGAGAAATGTGCAAAAGAATAAGAAAAGAACGCGACTCCCGATTACAAGCGAAAGTAACAACCCCCTTGAACACTGAACCAAAGACTCGATTCCTTGACGTAGTACAAAGGTTGTACTTAGAGAGCATTCAGCCGTAACACTGATGTTTAAGATCACGTGCCATGGCATTGTGAGGTCATGCTGAATCCATGCATTTAAATTATTTCATGAAATGAAAAATTCTTGCAAGGTATTTGATAGTGGTGCTACAATGTACATATATTTACACCATTGTCCACCATTTGTGGACAATATGAGCTCGAAACCATTGTATGCTAAGTGTGTGAATTAAGCACGGAATTCGACAATAAACTATTAGTTATAAAGATTGTTGACAGGTTATATGGCCGTATATAAACGGCTGTTTGTAAATATATTGCCAACAGCCGTTTATATAGGCCACATAACCTGTCAACAATATTTATAACGAATTTATAATACAGCAAGCATCATTTCTTAGAGAAAAAAAGTAAGATTTCGTACTGAATCGACAGAAGACTTGTATATTAAACTTTATAAACGTCACGATTATCCAATGAAAAACGACATTACAAACGTGCAGTATTATAAAGTCAGCATGACATTGAAATTCTACCAAATGTTCTGCTGACATGACATTTGCCAGGACATACAGCAGAACATTTGTTAACATTTCATTGTCTTGCTAAATGTAAAGCTGAATGTCGTGCCAGCAGGGAATTCTGTTAGTTTCAATGTCCTGCCGATTGTCCAACCAGAGGAAATTTCGGTAAAATTTCAATGTCGTGGTGAATGTCCTGCCGAATGCCCTGCCAGAACATTAAGCAAAATGTCAATGCCCTGCTGAATGTCCTGCCGAATGCTGTGCCGGCAGGGTATTCGGTAAAATTTCAAAGTCCTTTTGTATGTTCTGCCCGATGACCTGCCAACAGAACATTTGGTTATATTTCAATGTCCTGCTGAATGCCTTATGTCGAACTCCGTGCTAAATTCACCCATTTTTGCATATTATGTCGTGATGTCTTAACATTATAAACACGTCCTGATTCATAATCCAGCATAATTGTACACATTTATATCTCTGATTAAATGCCATTTGTCTACGGCTTTCAAAATGATGGTCTTTTCAGACACGTTCGGCTATAGACAATATGCAATATGCATTATTTTGTTGATTTTTTTTCAGCAACACATTGACGGGTGTAATGGTGAACGGTACTTGTTTAAGTAATCAAACAGCCTTGAACTTCTTCAATATCACCCCATACGATCCGTCCACAGCGCCGTCGTACCTAGTTGAACCCGTCACAGAATATTGGGAGTATGTAATTCTGTTTTTAGCCCGTTACATTCAGGTATATTTCACTAGTATCGGTCAAATGAGCCGTCGCTGTGACTAAGAACACATCAATCGCAACTATTCGGCCCTTTCCGTCAGTCTTCGGATAAGGACCTCAAACACAGTAGTATGAATACACAGAACGGATGCGGTATTTCGGCCTACCTACGCTAAGAAACTAAACATGTAAAAAAATAGTAATTTAATGCTAGGAGTTGTTAACAAATTTATTTCACATATATGTAGTAAAATTCCACCTAGAATAAGTGAATTCATAAATACAAAAGCATACAATATATTAGTTATTTATTTATTTATTATTATGGTTGTAGAAACCGAAAGTACAAAAAACCAACCTGTTGACGTTTAGTCGGATTTGTTTAAAATTGAACACCAGTGGGCATATTTAAATTACAAATTGTTGTCAGAAATATTTTCAAGCATAAGAGTACCGGAACAGACATTAGACGTCAAATATATACATTCGTTTTACATTTTCTCTGTTTCTGTTTTCATCTGAAACCACGTGGTAGAACTACTTTCAATCCGTATTGTTTCCGAGGTTATTATAGATAATAGCCGAGGCAGTTCCAAATGAGAACACATAAGAATACTTCGGTAATTTCCGTATCTAAATACGATCAAATAAGCGTCACTTCAATAGGAATCAGATAAGATAAAGCTTTCTAAATATATAAATAATAATAAGTTATAACAGCATATATAAAACATTAGAAAAAATGTGACGTGTGAATCTATTTCACATTCGGAAAAAAAATGAAACTATAATGTTGTTGTTGTTGTTGTTGTTGTTGTTGTTGTTGTTGTTGAGCACTATACTTAACATCCAATGAGCGTGTTTTCTGATTTAATGAACGAAGTGTTGCCACATCCTGCACCACTTTACTCCTAAAATTCCAGAAATTTCTATCTGGAACATTTCTTTTCTAAAAGCAGTGACATTATATGCCCATTATGATAATAAAAGTTGTAAAAATCAATGGGTACAATTAATGGTCACAAAGTCAAAAGAATCAAAAACATTAATTCTAGAAACAAATGCTATTCTTAGAAACCAATGCTATTTTAAGAAACACATGTTTTTTTAAGAAACAAAGTGTTGGCCATATCTGATGGTGTCGATGAGATGGGGCCAGCAAAGTGGGACTTGGTTCTATGTCTCCTGTTCGCCTGGATTGTCGTGTATGCATGTATTTGTAAAGGAATCCGATCATCAGGAAAGGTATTTATAAAGTGTGATACTCAAAAAAGTGTTGAAGCACCTCACTAACTTCCGTATACCGGTATATACCGGACTAGGCGTTTGAATGAGTAAAGGATTAATGCTAAATTATCGCCTTTTCACCTAACGGAATGAACTTTAAAGCGTCTAATTCATCTCTTAACACTGCGATATAAAGACGATCATGACTGAAAAATGTAAGATTCACCGACCAGAGGTTCTGCTCCAACACTGTAGCGAGTTAAATCCATTTATCACATAAGCCGCGCACAGGAGTGTAATAAAGCCATGGAATAAATATGATATTACACTAGTGTAATAACACTTTGACGTGGCGTCATTTGCGCTATATATAAACATAGCGTTAAAGCGCACACTATACACTATATGCGCGTCAATTAAAAATGACTCATTTTAGTTGTCAACCGTTCTCTTTTTCACTATGTGATAAATAGAATATTATATTCGTGCAGATTCAATACTAAATTTATTGGACTCGTTGAATAAAACAATATTATGCTCGCCAGAGGCTCGAATAATATTATTTTATTCAACCCGTTCAATAAATTTAGTATTAAACATACACTCAATATCCTCTATTTATAAAACGTTTCTTTGATTGTCTTTTATAGGGTTAACGCACGTTTTTCCGTGTTATAACGTCTGCAGAGTCCCGAGGAACGGTTGGTGCCCGAGCCCGAGGGACTCTGCAGACTTTATAACACGAAATAAACGTGCGTTGACGCTATTATAGCATAAAATTTTAAAACAGATCCATGATGTATATTATATATAAAACACAAACATTAAATCCTTGTGCTTGAACGGTATTTATCCAACTCTACATGTTTTACGTATGCGTTTTATTTTTTCCGGGGCCAACAACTTGAGAACCGAACGAAATTTCGAATTTTAATTGATTTAACAAAGTTTAACTTTGGAGATATATTAACTTAAGAAAAACATAACATTACTTTACCCAAGACAAAACAGACGCCTCAGAAATTCCTAGAATGATTACAGATTGGCGGTAGGAAAAAGATCAGTGACATCAGATTCAAATTCAGAATCGGATTTTTTTTAAGCACGCAAGTTTAAAAATAATCAGGCATAAAACATTATTCTCTCAAAGAAACATACAGAACATTTATCAATATAAACGTCAATAAAACAAAGTTTTCTTATATTCATTTTGTGCTTTCCATTTTTGTAAGTTAATCCGGGGATTAAACTGAATGACAGAATTGACAACTGTCCGTTTCTAAGAAAGGGCGACAACCAAGATAAGCGGCGATGTCTATACGCCGTATTGCCGGCATAATTACTTGAATTCCAATATAACAAGAGCGCATGACTCTGGCAAACAGGCCAACTCGTCATTTTTTGTTTGTTTACTGGGCCCTGTATGTATTGCGCATAGGTAAAACCGAGCTATAACAAGAGCGCGTGACTATGTTAACGCATGGTTTTGGCCCCGTTATAACATGGGCAAAAGAGGGGAAACTAGCCGATTTTATGCTATAATAAGTCTTAAGTAATGCGCACGATCTGTAAGTATAGTGTAAGCACAATTAAAAACAGAAAAGTTTAGTATTACAAGCAATAGAGTGAACATACTTGATTCTAAAAGCATTTGGTGTCATTCGAAAATTAAAACTCGACATAGAATTTACTTGAAGAAAGGCTGAATATGATAAAGTCATTGATTTTGCAATTTCGTTGAAACTATTGTACAACTGAAGACAAACCCGAAATCCTAAACTTAAAAACAATGCTTAGAGTCTAGTAGCAAAGGTATGAATGAATTCAGAATTACGGACACATTTTCAAAGTTCTTCGAAGTCGTGAATGCATGACATAATGCCCAAACACTTTCCTAAACCTACAGGGAACCTCAATGCACTGCGATGTTCAGACGACAACATGATATACTAGTGTTTGAAGTAACAAGGCTGTCATTGTTTGAACTTTCTTGAAGTAGTCTGCCACTGTTTTGGGGGGATTATTTTCTACTTCTTATTTGAAACGGCTAAACAATAAGTTAAATGTTACGGGTTTTACTCCAATTTTGCGTTTAATGAATTTAATTTAAGTCTAAAGTCTGAAGTACGGTGTCCTATTTCGTCCACAAAACTAAAGTCTTTGACTGAATTTAAAAATGGTGATTTAACGGTCATAAGTAGGTCCTAGAGTTGGTCTTAAAACACTCTTGAAACGCAGCGCTAATATTTAAATTTCTCCGTATTTTTTCAGGTCATGTATGTCACCGCTACGTCACCATACATTTTCATGACAGTTCTGTTAATCAGGAACTGTCTATTGGACGGAGCTGGGGATGGTATATTGTACTATGTCAAGCCCGATTTCGAGAAAATGAAAAATACACAGGTTAGCATTATTGTATTTATATATCTTTACAAAATGTAGTCATTTAATGGAAATAGGAAACCTGTTTTTTTTCCAAACGAATAATAAATAAAAAAGCCACACATTGTATTAAGTGCTTTATAAGAAGCACGGGTATGATTAAATTTCCTACAGATACTATTTTATGTAAACATTTAAAAAAGTGGTACCATGTTACCAAGCTGTACTACATTCGCCATCTTCAATCGGTTCTCATCCAAAGTTAGGCGGTAAGAGAAAAAAAGTTTCGATTCCATTTTATCATCTGGTTTAAATCCTGATTGTACCGTAATTATAATTTTATTTTATCTTTTCTATCATTATTATTATTATTTTGAAGATTCGAAAGAAACAAAATGTTATTTTAGGTATGGGTGGATGCTGGAACCCAGATTTTCTTCTCGTATTCCATTTCATTAGGCGCTCTAACAGCCCTGGGAAGCTACAACAAATTTCATCATAATTCGTACAAGTAAGTTCTTGACCATGTGACAATTTCCGCCATATCCCTTTTTTGTACAATTACAATATGCACTGATCGATTGAAAAAGACGAGTTCCTAATCGTTCAGAAATATTCCTACTGATTGCACGGGCGGATTATCTGGATAGGATCGGGAAAATATACAGTATTTGGTGTAGGAAGCTCTGCACAAAAAAGAGCATGAATATTGCCAAAAAAAAAGAGAATTAAGTCAATATAACTAGTTATCATTAAAATTATTTCATAGTTTCTTAATTCTTAAAAGGACATATTGCATTGCAAAGTATCCACTAAATCCACACATGTCCTCACTCTGCATCTGTCTTCACTCTGCACATCTCCTCACGGTACGTGTCCTCAGTCTGCACATGTCCTCATTGCACTGTCCTCAGTCTGCACATGTCCTCAATCTGAATATGTCCTCATTGCACGTGTCCTCAGTCTGCACATGTCCACAATCCTCACTAAATCCTCAGTCTACACTGCAAAGTTAATAATATATCTTAATCTATACGTTTATTCTTTTTCTTTATTCACAGAGACAGCATTATTTTTGCCTTAGCAAACAGCGGGACTAGTATATTTGCCGGATTTATCATATTCTCAATTCTTGGACACATGGCCAAAATTCAGGACAAAGACATAGGAGACGTGGCCGAAGCAGGTATAATTTGCCATGTTGAATTTATTTTAACCATGCTGGCTCACCATTTTTTATTCAACGTGAAGTGTTTGTTGTAAATAATGAAGAAACTGTGTCAATTTCTAAGTTTCTTTCGGAGGATTTAATCTGTAACGAAATAATTTCATCAAATGCATGTATACTGTACAATCAAAGATTTCAGGAAGGATAAAATTTCGGTAATGTAATAAATTGTAGATTATCGAAAAAGTAAATAGTTGCTAAGTACATATATGTATCACATTAATTTTACAGAATTGTAAGATGAAATTCACGAATAACCTTGCCAATTAGTCCGAAATGTTGCGAGAATATTTGATTTGATTTTACAGTAGAACTTTATGGTTTTGTTTTTTTTTACTTTGACAAAAATGAAAACAAAATGTACATAGCTCGAAAGTTGATTCCTTTTATGTGCCTTAAGTAAGAAAATGTTCAGATACTTATTTTCACTTCGCTCATTGCTCATTTTATTTCGAATCGTCGGCAAAATTAGGCTGCAATGAAGAACCAATGGTAATTTGTTTTAAGTCTTCATTAAATGTCTATATTTTCAGGTCCAGGTTTGGCATTCATTGCATATCCGAAAGCCCTGACACTTCTTCCTGCAGCACCGTTTTGGTCGGTCATGTTCTTCCTTATGGTAATACTGCTCGGCCTCGACAGTCAGGTAAGCCATAATATAAATTAGCCGCGTCACGACAATACCAACATATGTTTTGCGACCAGCATGGATCCAGACAAGCCTGCGCATCCGCGCAGTCTGATCAGGATCCATGCTGTTCGCTTACAGACCCTATAACAAGTAAAGAAACTGCTAGCGAACAGCATGGATCCTGATCAGACTGCGCGGATGCGCAGGCTGGTCTGGATCCATGCTGGTCGCAAACCCATTATGTTGGTTTTGTCGTGACGCGGCTCAAATCATTGACATGCTGCAAGTGTAGAATGTACTTCTTTGAGTTTGGAATAATCCATTTAAAATAGAGGGATACAACTACAAAACTAGTGAGACTTTCAAAAGGTGTCGGAGCGCCACATCAAATACAATATTCCGGTATATACCGGACAAGGCGCTTGAATGTTTAAATGCTGAAACATCGCCTTCTCACCCAACGGAATGAACTTTAAAACGTCTAATTCATCTCTTCACACCGATTTATATATGATAATGAATGAAAAATGTAAGAATCGGCGAAAAAAGCGATATTTTTCTACTTAGTGATCATGATTTCTGCAAGCGTCTAGAGGTACTGCTCCAACACTGTAGTTAGTTAAATCCAATATGGCTGCCATAAGAGAGTAAAACTGCATGGATCTTTGGACTAACTTGATTCTTTTCTTGTGGCATGGGCTAATCATTTTACCTTCAGACAGATCAAGAGCCAATCCTCCCTTACTGTATCGTTTCCGGCCCTAGAATGGTTCCACAAAGGCAGTCAAAGTCTAGGCACATGGCAGTATAGTTCGGTGTTATTTAAATAATTCAAAACAAACAAAGTATTCGTCTTTTGATCTTAGATGTAAAAATAGCATAACCATCATTGTTTCGTCATAAAAATACGTACCTTTATATTTGTTTCTCACGCGCACAAATCATTCCTTTGCCTATCCAGAACCAAAACCATCAACAACAATCAATACAGAAGCGTAGCGTGACATAGTTACCTAGATGGATGATACAGAATTTCAAATAATAGCTTAGCAAGGCGTCCCGCTAAAGCTTTTTTTTAATGATATGTGTTATTCGTCTTCTAACAGAACTTTCAGTACTTTGATATCTCGCTTCAGTTTGTTGGTGTTGAAGGTGTGGTGACAGCCATTGTAGACCAGTTCCCACAGTATCTCCGGAGAGGACATAGACGAGAAGTGTTTATAGGATTTGTTTGTGTTTTACAATTCCTGGTAGGATTGCCCATGGTCTGCCCGGTAAGTAACCAGTTCCTCGTCAGGCTGACTGTGAGTACCCTCGTGCAAGGGCGTACAACTCGTATTCGTTGCACTGTAAAATTGATAATGGTGCCCACTGCTATAGCTAGACATCTACTGACTATTGCTTAAAGGCACATTATGCCTCAGAAATCATATTTTTCTAGTTGTTTGGAAATTTCAAACATGTGTTTAATAATGTTTTAATAACGGATTAAGAGGATGTAAGATATTTTACAACGGAAAAAAGTAGCGCTGAACGTGAAGTAACGTGTCAAGGTAGCAAAATGTTAACAAAACAGTATTTTGACTTCCATTCAAAATACTAACTCACTATATTCAAACAAATTGCAAACAGAGCAAAAAAATAAAGCAAATGACAGTTCAATTCTATGTGGCCAGTGAGTATTCCTTTTGAAACTGTAACAAGACACGAACAATTAATTTCTTGAGAAATAAAAATGATAGCATTTTTGAGACATAATGGGACTTTAATAAGGTTTAGGAAACAAACCGAATGAGATTTTGGATTATTTGACAAGCCATTGTTTAAATGTCAGATACATGTATAGAGAAACTAAGGTGAGAACCGTGAAATTGAAACTATGTTTTTTATTGTTGAAATTATGATAAATCTCAGAAAACAAAAATGGAGTTATATTGTTTACATTGTTTCAGTGAAAACGGATGTAAGGATGCTGAATATAACAAAAATTTGTTGTATATCTTATTTCAAAAACACGATAAATTAAAGCAATGAATTTGTAAAATAGCACGTGTTTTAACCTTGCAGGGTGGCATGTACGTGTTCCAGCTGTTCGATTATTATTCCGGAAGTAGAATTATTTTGTTTGTGGCAGCGTTCATGTGTGTTGCGGTCGGATGGTGTTACGGTAAATATATCCTCTTATATATGTTTGTTGATAAAATTAAACTTTATTGGTAAATACGGATTGAGATAATTAAGTTCAAATTTATTTTGATGTCGCTGACAAATCAATCATGTCATCATAGTTACTGTCGGATTTTAGTGAAATGTACAGACGGTGAAAAACCATGTGATTTAAAAAAGCAGACGACATTTCACATGTTAGGACTTTTTGTAAGTAAGTATTGAGTTCAAAATTGTACAATGCTGCTCGCTCGTGATTGTTACAAATGGTACGAACTTCTTGTAGCATTTGATGTCTTCCTCCGCCAAGTCCTGAAAGCGACCTTATTTACTGCAGTTCTGTAAAGAAAGTTTTCGGTCTCTTATCCCGGTAAATCAGTATAAAAGTGAACTGCCATTTTATCAACATGGCCATCACTCGCTGAATGTGTTTGCTCATTGGAAGAATGTAAATGTGGTAGAGCAGAATAATTCAATTTTAATAGATCTTTTGGTAATGAAAACTGATGGCTGAAATCCTATGTGAATACTGATGGCAGAAATAACAAAGGGCAATAACTGAAAATTATGCACGGTAGCGATATTATTCTTGTGCGCTGCATTCCTCCTCAATGAGATCTTTCCACCTATGAAGTTTCAAGTTGATATCTCAAAGGCCTTTATGGTTATGACCTTGACAAAAATTAAGCATGAAAAATAACAAAGGGCAATAACTGAAAAAATTATGCATGGTAGAGTAATCATTCTTGTGTGCTGCACTCCTCCTCAATGAGATCTATTCACCTATGAAGTTTCAAGTTGATACCTCTTACACTTTTTGAGATAAACTCCGGACAAAAAGTATGAAAAATAACAAAGGCAATAACTCAAAAATTATAATGGGAAGAGTTATCATTCTTATGCACAGCATTCCTCCTCAATAAGATCTATCCACCTATGATGTTTCATGTTGACATCTCAGAGACGTTTTGAGTTATGCTCCTCTCAGGTGAAAAATTAAGAATGAAAAATAACAAAGGGAAATAACTAAAAAATTATGAAGGGTAGAGTTATTATTCTTGTGCACTGCACACCTTCTGAGTGAGATCTATCCACCTATGAAGTTTCATTTTGATATCTTATAATCTTTTTTAGTTATGCTCTGGACAAAAATGTAGTTTGAAAAATAACAAAGGGCAATAATTGAAAATAATGCAGGGTAGGATTATCATTCTTGTGCACTCTACTCCTCCTCAATATGATCTATCCACCTATGAAGTTTCAAGTTGATACCTCAAATACTTTTTTAGATATGCTCCGGACAAAAATGTCGGACGGAAGGATGGACGGACGGAAGGACTATTTATATATCCCCCGCCGCGTTTAGGCGAGGGATAACAATGGATGCAGATGCATACTCAGTCTGCCTATATTTTAGATGCAAAAATTGCACAAGTCGATGTTGATTCTACACATGTATTCTAACTTTACTCATAAATGTTCTTATTGTTCCAGGTGTTCGTCGTTTCTATGACAACATTGAAATGATGTACGGTTGGAGAATTAATCCTTACATGGCGATTGGATGGACTGTTACTTCACCGATATTTTGTATGGTATGTATTGCTGTTGTTATTTTTCAAATTTCTAACTTTTTTTCTGATTCAGATTCAGGATTGATTCAATGACGTATTTTACTAGCACATTGCAGTAAAACGTTCTGCGCTTTTGAAAGATTAGCGATTTGCTCGGCTATTATAAGTTCAAGTTTCTTATTGGCCTCTTAATTAGCATTTCTCCTAAACGCAACTCCTGGTAAGAAACTGGTATTACACGGTAGTTGGTGTGCTTCAGGATACAGTCTTTCTTCAATTTTAACTTCTTTTACATTTCTAAAACGCGTTTTTATATACAAATGATAGCAATGGTTAAAATAATGAAAATAACTCTCTACACATGTACATCTGAAACACTCTGATATAGATGTAAAAAATGTTTGTATGTAAATGTACAATATATAACTCGTGCCAAACGTTTGGATATGAATACAAGCACATGTAACAAAAAGTATACTTTCAATGATAAAAAGTTTTGTTGATAATTAACACTTATAATGTTTTAGCAAATTATATTAGTCACACTGTTTTGGCAATAAAATAATAATGACAAACAAAACTTTATTGCTAAGTATATATGAGCCGCGCCATGACAAAAACATAGTGCGTTTGCGACCAGCATGGATCCTGATCAGACTGCGCGGATTCGAAGGCTGGTCTGGATCCATGCTGGTCGCAAACCCATTATGTTGGTTTTGTCTTGGCGCGGCTCATATATCGTCCAAAAATGTAATAACTATACTGTTGCACATTAATAACGACAAAATAACAATGCACTGAACATATTTGTGAGTATGAATTACCATAACAATACGAAAGATGTCAAGTATCAACTTAAGAAGCTCACTGTTTAAAAACTGCATGTGTGTTAGTACGAAAAATTAGAGATAAAATCATTGTGCTCATGAATAAAGATGCAATAACTTATTTATAACAATTTACAGACTATCTTCGTTCTAAGTACGATCGACTACTCGGAATTGGACTACAGTAGACCAAAGGGGACATACGTTTATCCACAGTGGGCTGTTGGGATAGGATGGGCAATGGCCGCGTTCGCCGCAATCTGGATTCCTATTGGCTGGATTTACCATATTATAAGATATGGCAAAGACTGGGAAGTATGAGAAATTAATGCCTTTAATATCAATTTTAATATGCATCCAAATGTAACATGGTGATATTTTAGGATGAAAGTTTTTTTTTTTGTAGTTTAGTGCGTTTCTTTGTTATCTATTCCTATCTTGAAATGTATGTTCAAACTCAGTTATTATGCTATTGTTGTTAATCTTAACACAACAACCTAATTGAATTGAAAAGGGATGTAGCCTGTGTTTTTGTTGTTTGTTTGTTGTTACTTAGATGACTAATTCTTCATGAACTGGTAGAAATGCGGCATATTTCAGCACTTGCAAAGTTATTTCACCTTTAACCTGCTTAAAGCAAAACATTTTGCCTTTGCGACCAGTCTGTGCAGTCTGACCGAGCTCTGCACTGTTTGCTTAACTTAACATTTCCATCTGAAACTACGACAGTTATGGTCCTTGGGAAGTGTTAGCCATTTCATAGACAAATGTTACTGCCGCTTTCTGCTATAATGTATGAAATGACAAAACTGAAAGTGCGACATTAATTCTATGAACCTTAGTTAGTGTAAGCCATTTCATAGACAAATGTTACTTCTTCGAATCAAGTGACATGTTAATAATTTATTTTTTTACAGACCTTCAAGCTTTGCTTTAGGCCAATCGGATTGCAGGATCACCAAATGAGACCTCAGGATAGAGGGGAGCGCAATCTAGAATCACTTACAGGCGACAAACCGTGGATTGATAAGGATTTCCCTGAGCCTAAAAAGGGCCAGCCGTACCATTTCACGGATCAGGTATTTATGCTTTCTGTCTCATCAAATATTACTATATCGAAAATAGAAATAGGGATATCTAGATTAAATTGTTGTTAAGTTCGTGTATTAAAGTTTAAAATGAGCGATTAAGGGCTGATTTTGGAGTATTTATCACCACATTTCTACTGCGTTACTAACGCAGTAAGGGCTAATTTTTCTTATTTTGACCTTTTCTTGGTAATTTATGTGGACTGCAAGAGCTGTTTGCAATGTGTAAATACATTTAAGAAAATTTTCATGAAAATTAGCATGAATCTGGAGGCATACTGCTTTAAGGTAGTAGCCTTCCAACCTTGCCTCTCACCTCTATGGGTTTGTATTCCGACAAGGTCTTTGGATTCTTTCATATGAGGAAGCTACCAAGCTAGCTGCTTCTTCTTAGCTACCCGTTTGTCCCTGAAATAATGTACGAAGGCGCAGCTGAGATCTTCCTCCGCCCGTTTGACCAGAAATATGGGAAAATAAACAGTTCTTGTTGGGCTTTTACATCAGTCAGACAAAATTGATAGAAACGTAGAATATATATTCAAGATCTGTATTTTTCTCTTTCAGATGAATGAGAAAAATGAAACTTCAAGATCTGATGTGGCCGGCAGAGACAATCCTGGCTATGAACCAACGTTTACGAAGCTATAGAATTAAATGATCACCTTTAAAGACGACTATAGAAATGAATAATTGGGAACTTTAAAAAACAAGTGATTCCGATAACTTCAGAGGGCATAATAATTTTTCATACAGGAATCAGTGATTTGTTTGCACAACTTTTCGGAGTGCACTATGTTTAGATATTGTTATGATAGTGTCAGGGTTTCATTGAACACTCAAATATTTAGCTATGTAAATGATTTTATAATTGACATTTCTCACATACAATACTCATTCATGACGGTGCAATGAAACCATAAATTCTCATATTTAACAGTCTTCCTCGCTCTGCTATCAACTTAACTTTTGGTTATTACTTTTTGGTACCATCGTTTATAAAAATCAAAGGTTATGTTACGTTCCAACGGGCCAATATCTAAATGCATTTGTAGATATTCTGTTCATTATTGGGCCAATAACTTCCGTTGTCAGGCCAAAATATCTACACTGACTTGATGCGATTGCGAGCCAACATCTTAAGATTGATTACATCTAATGTCAGGCCGATATCGATCCAATTTCATGCCAATACCTTGAACATTCAACGATTAATCGATACAATAAATACAGGTCCAATTTACGAATCGTTTAAGATGGACCGATACATTTCGAATAAACGATGGGCTCCGCATATATGATACTTCGATTGGCATGGCTTTTGAAATAAAAAGAAACATTTGGGAACAGTGATTTATAACAAAATATTTGTGGGGTATTCATATCAGTTCATGTCTTCCATATACAAAATCCGTTGTAATATATTCTTTCGTTTAACAAAGATTGGATTTCTGTTATGATTTTACAAGAATTTTTATACAAATCAGAAACATATATTTTTGTATAATTTTACCTCTTTTTATGTTGTATAGAGTGTGTAATATAATACGTTACTAAATTCGCTCAATTTAATTTTCTTTGCATTTTGCACAGCTCGCAGATGTGTGTGTGTGTTTGTTTGTCTCGATTTTTAGCATTTCACTTTTATGATGATGTCAACGTAAAGTACATGTTTAAATCTCAGAGTTACCAGTTTTTTATTTCATTTCTGACTTCAGTTTCGTCCATTTTGTTTTTCAGCCATCTTCACTTCCGCTACGTGTCAACGGTGTCATATATAGTTTTCACTAGTTCCAATGGAACACTATGTGGTATCGACAGTGTTAGCCAAAGTCGGGTTAGATTGTTTTAAAAACGTTACAAATAAATTCAATTTACAACAATGAAGTAGTTGAGTAATTGAGACATTAAAATTTGTGCATATTGTGTTTAAAAAATTGAAGTTTGGTATTACGTTGGCCAATAAAACAAAATTAACCTCTCGCATCGGTCTAGTATTTCGTCATCTTAAAACAGAAGTACTTAAAAGAAACAAATTCTCTATTCTTTCAAGCTAAAATCATTGACTCAAAGAAAATTGACTCGTCATTGTTTTCTAAATTTAATGAACGTTTTTTTATATGTATCTTAATTGTACTAACTTTGAATTATGTATGTTTTATTTTGTTGTGTTGACAAAAAAGACGGATTCCTTGTTCTTTCCTGACAATTAGTTCTAACCAGTGTGTATTCCCACAAAATTACACTACTCTGTAATGCAAATTGTTGATATTGTTTTATTCGATTGTTCGAACAGGAAGTGAACCCTTTTCATCTGTATAGAGCCAGGCCAGCCTGCACATGTGTGCACTTTGACCAGGCTATATGCTGTTAGTATGTCGTTTCATGTGCTTTGATATTAAAATCAATTGAACTTTTCAAAACTGAACAAATCTATTACAAATATTTAGCAGGATTAAGATTAAGTATAAAATAAGAAGTATTCTTTTTGTTCGAGATTTCTAAAAAAAAAAATTTTTTTAAAAAAATTTTTTTTTAAAAAATTTTTTTTCAAAAATTTTTTTTTTTTTAAAAATTTTTTTTTTTTTTTTAAAAATTTTTTTTATTTTTTTTTTTGGGGGGGAAAAATTTTTTTTTTTGGGGGTTTTTTTTTTTTTTTTTTTAATTACTTTTGGGTTTTTTTTTTCCCCCCAATTTGGGGGAAAATTTTTTTAAAATTTTAAAAAAAATTTTTTTTTTTTTAAAAAGGGGGTTTTTTTTTTTTTTAAAAAAAAAAAAAATTTTTTTTTTTTTTTTTTTTTTAAAAAAAAAAATTTTTTTTTAAAAAAATTCTTTTTTTTTTTTAAAAAATTTTTTTTTTAAAAAAAATTTTTTAAAAAATTTTTTAAAAATTTTTTTTTTTAAAAAAAAAATTTTTTTTAAAAAAAAAATTTTTTGGGAAATTTTTTTTTTTAAGAAAAATTTTTTTTTTTTTTTTTATTAATTTTTAAAAATTTTTTTTTTTTTTTAAAAAAAGGGGGGTTTTTTTTTTTTTTGGGTTTTTTTTAATGGGGTTTTTTTTAAAAAAAATTTTTTTTAAATTTTTTTTAAAAAATTTTTAAAAAATTTTTTTTAATTTTTTTTTTTGGGTTTTTTAAAAAGGGGGCCCCCCTTTTTTGGCTTTTTTTTTTAAAAATTTTTTGGGGGTTTTTTTTTTTAAAAAAAAATTTAAGGGGAATTTTTTTTCCCCCAAAATAAAAAAAAAAAATTTTTTTAAAAATTTTTTTTTGGGGGGGAAAAAATTTTTTTTTTTTTAAAATTTTTTAAAAATTTTAACCAAAAAAAAAATTTTTTTTTGGGAAAAAAAAAAATTTTAATTTTTTTTTTTCCCTTTTATTCCCCTTTTTTTTTAAATTATTTTTTTTTTTGGGGGTTTTTTAAAAAAAATTTTTTTTGGGGAAATTTTTTTAAATTTTTTGGGGGGTTTTTTTTTTTTTAAAGGGGGGAAAAATTTTAAAGGAATTTGGGTTTTTTTTTTTTTTTTTGGGGGAAAAAATTTTAAAAATTTTTAAAAAATTTTAAAAAATTTTTTTTTTTTAAAAAAATTTTTTTTTTCTTTTATTTAAAAATTTTTTCTTTTATTTTTTTTTTTTTTTTTTTAAATTTTTTAGGGGTTTTTTTTTTTTTAAAATTTTTTTAAATTTTTTTTTTTAAAATTTTTTTTTTAAAATTAAGGAAACCTTTTTAAAAAAGGGGAAGCGGGGTTGGTTTTTTTAAAAAATTTTTTTAAAAAAAATTTTTTTTCCCGGGTTTAAATTTTTTAAATTTTCCCCTTTTTTTTTCCCCCCCCCCGGGGGGGTTTTTTTTTCAAATTTTCCAAAGGGGAAAAAGGGGGTTTTTTTTTTTTCCCTTTTTTTTTGGGAAAACCCCCAAAAAAAACCCCCTTTTTGGGGTTTTTTTTTTTTTTCCCAAGGGGGGTTTTGTTTTTTCCCAAAATTTTTCCCTTTTTGGGGTTTTTTTAAAAAAATTTTTAAAAAACCCCGGGGGGGGTTTTTTTAAATTAAAAAATTTTTTGGGGGGGTTTTTTCCCCCCCTTTAAATTTTTTTTTGGAAATTTTGGGGGGGGGGAAAAAAAATTTTTAACGGGGGTTTTTTTAAAAATTTTTTCCCTTTATTTTGGTTTTTAAAAAAGGGTTTTTAAAATTTTCCCTTTTTTTTTTTTTAAAATTTTTTTTGGAAAAAAAAAAAAAAACCGGAAGGGAAAGGTTTTTTTCCCTTTTTTTTTTCCTTAAAATTTCCCTTTTTTTTTTTTTAAAATTTTTTTTTTTAAAAAAAAAAGGGTAGCAAAAACCTTTTTTCCCCTTTTTAAAACTTTTTTTTCCCCAAAATTAAAAATTTTAAATTTTTTAATTTTTTTTTTAAAAAAAAATTTTTTTTTTTTAAAATTTGGGGGGGGCCCCAAAAATTTTTAAATTTTTTTTAAATTCCCGGAAATTTTTAAAAAAAGGGGGTTCTTTTTTTCCCCCGGGTTCCCCGGTTTTTTTTAAAAAAAATTTTTTATTTTTTTTTTTTGGGGGGTTTTTTTTTAAAAAAAAGGGGGGAAAAACTTCCTCCCCTTTTCCCCGGGGTTTTTTTTCCTTTTTGGTTTCCCAATTTTTTTTTTAAAAAAGGGGGTTTGGGGGGGTTTTTCCAAAAAAAATTCTTGGGGTTTTTTTTTTTTTTTTTTGGGGGGGGGGTTTTTTTCCCCCCTTTTTTTTTTTGGGGGGGAAAATTTTTTTTTTTTTTTGGGGGGGAATTTTTTTTAAAAAAAATTTAACCCTTTTTTGGGCCCAAAAATTTTTTTTTGGGGTTTTTTTTCCCTTGTTTAATTTAAGGGGGGTTTTTTTAAAAATTTGGGTTTTAAATTTTTTTTTTTTTTTTAAAAAAATTTTTTTTTTTTTTCCCCTTTTAAAATTTAAACCCCCCCCCTTTTTTTTTTTTTTTTAAAAAACCCTTTTTTTAAAATTTTTTTTTTTTTTTAAAATTTTTTTGGGGGGTTTTTTTTTTTTAAAAAAAAAAACCCCCCCGGGGGGGTTTTTTTTAAATTTTTTTAAAAACCCCCAAAATTTAAAAAAAATTTTTTTTAAAAAAATTTTTTTAAAAAAAGGTTTCCTTTAAAAAAATTAATTTTTTTTTTTTTTCCCAAAAATTTTGGTTTTTGGGAGTTTTTTTTTTTAAAAAATTAAATGGGTTAAAAAAATTTTTTAAAATTTTAAAAAATTTTTTTTAAAATTTTTTCCCCCCTTTTTTTAAAAAGGGCCCAAATTTTTTTTAAAAAAAAAAAATTTTTTTGGGTTTTTTTTTAAAAAAACCCGGGAAGGGAAAACCCCTTTTTTTTTTTTTAAAAAATAGTTTTTTTTTAAAAAATTTAAAATTTTAAAAATTTAAAAAATTTAAAAATTATTTTAAAGGGGGGCCCCCCCCAAAAAAAGGGGGAAAAATTTCCAAAAATTTTCCCGGTTTTTTTTTTTTTCCCCTTTTTCCCAAATTTTTTCCCCCCTTTTTAAAAAATTTCCTTAAATTTTAAGGTTTTTTTTTTTTTTGGTTTTTTTTTTTTTTTTTTGGGGGGGGGGGCCCTTCCTTTAAAAAAAAACCTTTTTTTAATATTTTTAAAAAAAGGGGAAAAATTTTTTTTCCCTTTTTTAAAAAAAAATTTTTAATTTAAAAAAAATTTTTTTTTTAAAAAAAGGAATTAAAAAAAACAAAAAAAATTTTTTTTTTTTTTTTTATTTTTTTTTTTTTTTTTGGGTTTTTTTTTAAAAAGGGGGGGGGAAAATTCCTTTTTTTTTTTCCCTTTGTTTTTAAAATTTTAAAATTATTTTTCCCCCCAAAAAAATTTAAAAGGGGAAAAAAAAAAACCCCAAAAGATTTTCCCCCTTTTTTTTTTCCTTAAAATTTTTAATTTTCCCCCGGGTTTTTTTTTAATTTTTTTCCCAAAAAATTTTTTCCCAAAAGGGAGAAAAAATTTTTTTTTTGGGGGGGAAATTTCCCCTTTAAAAAAATTTTAAAATTTTTTCCCCCTTTTTGGGGGGGGGTTTCCCCCCCTTTTTTTCCAAAAAGGGGAAAGGGTTTTTTATACCCTTTTTTGGGGAAAATTTTCCCCTTCAAAATTTTTTTTCGAAAACCCCAAAATTTTTTTTCCCCCAAATTTATTTTTTTTTAATTTTTTTTTGATTTTAAAAAAATTTTTTTTAAAAAAAAAAATTTTTTTTTTTTTTTTTTTTTTTTTTTAAAAGGGGGGGGTTTTTTTTTTTTTTAAAAATTTTTTTAAAATTTTTTTTTTTTTTTTTTGGGGGGGGAAAATACCTTCCTTTTTAAACCTTTTTTTTTTTCCCCCCTTTTTATTTTTTTTTTTTTTTTTTTCCCCAAAAAAATTTTTTTTTAAAAAAACCCCTTGTTTTTAATTTTTTTTAAAAAAAGGGTTTTTTTTTTTTTTTTAAAAAAAAATTTTTTTTTAAAAAAAAACCCTTTTTAAAATTAAAAAAAAAAATTTTCCCCCCAAAAAAAAAACCCCCTTTTTTTTTTAAAAAAATTTGAAAAAGGGGGGGTTTTTTTAACCCAAAAAACTTTTTTAAAAAATTTTTAAATTAAAAAAGGGTTTTAAAAAAACCCAAAAAAAATTTTTTTTAAATTTTTCCCAAGTTTAACAAAATTTTAAATTTAAAAAATTTAAAAACCCCAAAAATTGGAAAAACCCCCCTTTTTTAACAAAAAATTTTTTTTAAAATTTTAAAAAACAAAAAAAACCCAAAGGGGGGAAAAAAAAAAAAAAAAAAAAAATTTTTTTTTTTTTTTTTTAACCAATTAAAAAACCCCCCCAAAAAAAGGGAAAGGGGGGCCCCCCCCAAAAAATTTTTGGGGGGCCCCTTTTTTGGGGTTCCAAAAATTTTTTAAAAATTTTTTTTAAAAAAAAACCCCCAAAAAACCCTTTTTGGGGGGGAAAATTTTTTAAAAAATTTAAAAGGGAAAAATTTTTCCAAAGTAGCTAGAAATAGCTTCCTCGCAATTATATCCGAGTAGCTGGG